CTCTTCCGACTTTGGACTAAAAGGCGTGGTTGGTGAAAATCTTCGTAAAAAAATGGCAAAAGTTTCACTAACCATTGAGAGTCTCAAACAAGTTTATCGAACTTCTAGTGCAATTGGTATAACCGAAGTACTTGGAAAGAAAATAAATGGTAAATCTGTGATTACAAATAATAAAAAGGTAATTACAAAAATTATAATTTGACTGAATTTTCCGATAATTTATGTAAGATTGTTTGTTGTTTTACATTGAAAATGACCCGATCGGTGTCGAAACGTTTGTATGTATGTATGAAAGGTTATTAAATATTCTTTATGTTATAACTGGCTCGTAGCCCTTCTTTTAACTATTGATTTATTCTGATTGATAATTATTCCGAGAATGTTTCATATACATGTCGCAAAATTTTTAATTTTTGCAGAAATTCTAGATCCGGTCATCCCTAAATCATTTTTTAAACAAAATTGTATGCGGTGTTGCCACAGACCTGGAAAATCAGGAAAAGTATCAGGGGAAAATGTAAAAAAAGACCTGGAATTTTGAAATTTGCTCACAATTTCCTTAAACTGCTCCTATTCCAAATAATTGTTATAACTTTTTAATATTATATCTGACGTTTATAGTCAAATACATTCAAAACTCGCACACTTTAAACGATTTTAATAAAATAATTAAAATTTATATTTTATTCAATATTTTTATTTGATCGCCCTTTTTCGTAACTGCATTTTTTTTCCAATATTAATTTATTTTTTGTTGGCTTAAATTTGCACCCAAAATTTTATTGTGCTACTAAGCCATGTCTGTGAAGCTGGCCCCTTACTTTCAAAATTTTTTGAAAAAATAAGCAGAGTTCTTTACCCCCCGAAGAGTTTTCCGTCGATTAAAGCGGTGGAAACACTATTTGAAGTTTCGGAGGGGCCAAGTTCACGATTCCGAAACTTTGAAGGACTATAACTTCTTTACCGTTCATTTTAGCACATTGATCCATATAGGATAATCCATATAGGATAGAATTCTTTGAGGAGCAACTAGAACTCTAAAAAAATACTTTGGGAAAAAATATTTTGAGAAAAAAATTTTTTTCTAGATTTCGGTCATTGTATCATGAGTTCTAATAGCCCTCCAACCGAGGCGCTGAAACCAATATCTAAAAAGTTCTAGAGCTTTGAAGTATCAGATTTCGAATTTTTATACTTTTAAAGACGCTAGAACTTTTTTTGTTTGTGATCTCAGCTATTGTATTATTAAGGATAATCGTTAGAACTCTCCAGGGGGCTACCAAAACTCTCAATAAAATGCCGGATTTTCGAGAAAAAATTTTGACCTGTGTGGATTTAAGGGGGTAGTCTGCTTTACAAGGTCAAAAAAATCGATTTTTTTTTATTGCTTAAATAGATAGATAAACTATCCAAGAATATATTCTCAAAAGGATAAATTCCTATTCAAAGTATTTGTGACGATATAAGGCCGAGAGCAGGTAGGCACGGAGCGCGCATGCCGGTCTGCTCCGAGCGCGCGCCCGTCCCTCGATCCCCTTACCTGAAATATGGCTTTTCAAAACAATACTTAGGAGCCGAACAAATTCATCTTCATGAATACTACGAGAAAGCTGAAGGCCTCTTATATAGTGCAGGAATCGCTGATTAGCAGATTATTGATGTAAGTAGTCAATAAATCAAACTTTTTCCGACCGCAAACTTTAAAGCGTGTTTTCTCGAGTTTTCATTTTTACGATTTTTCCTAAACTGCGTACACGATAGCAAAAAAAATATTTGACCGATCGACAAAAGCCAAAGTGCATTCTCTTCACAACTAAATTCCCTTCTATATGAACCAAAAAAAATTATTAAAAAAGTCTTTTTTAATAATTTTTACATCAGGTCAAAGTCAAATTTAAACATGTAAAAATGCATAATTTATGTTCAAACTACAAATAATCATCATTATGCCTCTTTTTCGGAATTTTTTAGGTTCATATAGAAGATATACATGTCTAAATTAATAATCAGTTTAATTTTTTCATTTCAGACAAGAATTGCGAGCGGCATCGTGTACGCAGATGGACAACTCCAGAGCCGAGGCGCTCCACACAATAGCCTCTACATCCGCCATTTTCTATTAAATTGCTCCATAAAAATTCACTTTATACCCTTTGAATACATATTAAAATGAGGCATAAACGTTTAAGAAGTTTAATTATTTTTTCCCTTCTAAAAAAATTCCCAAAATATTGCTATTTTTTGGCCTTGTAAAGCAGACTACACCCTTAAAAAAATTTGAAATCTGAAACTTCAAAGTTCTAGAACTTTTTAGATATTAGTTTCAGCGCATCGGTTATTAAGCATAATCATTAGAACTCAACAGAATGGCCGAAATTAAAAAAAATTTTTTTTAGAAAAAATTTTTTCGGAAATCCGGTATTTTTTGTTAGAGTTCTGGTTGCCCTCAAAGAGTTCTATCGATTGTCCTATATGGATCAAAGTGCTAAAATGGACGTAAAGAAGTTATAGCCCTTCAAAGTTTCGGAATCGTGAAATTGGCCCCTCGAAACTTCAAATGGTATTTTCACCGCTTTAATCGACGGAACTCTTTCTGAAATTGCTAGAGAACTCTAGAACTCTTCGGGAGGCAATCAGAACTCTGCTTATTTTTTCAAAATTTTGAATATAAGGGTGCCAGCTTCACAGAGGTGAAAAAACGGAATAATTTCGAAGCGTTGTGCATCAGTATTGCAGTTTAGTACGCGCTGCATGCGTGACTATGAACGCACCCAGATAAGTGTTATTTACTTTGTTATCATGGTGGAAGTAATAAAAATACTATAAAATATAAAGATTCCGCGAGAGATATTATGCTTAGTACGTATATACATGTACTTATACATACGAATTAGAAACTTCAATAAATAAATTTTTTGCAGAAAATTAAAGAGTAGCGTAATAAAAAGATTTACAAATTTACAAATCGTAAAATTACTGTATTTTGACTTGTAAATTTCACTTTAACTGATCATATTATTTTTGACTGATTATTATTATTTTTTTACTAATCTTTTTTTACTGATCATTCATTGTTATATTAAATCTATTTATTCTAATTATATTAATTATATTATGTTTTTTGTTCGAGTTGAAATTTAAAAAAGTTATATATGGTATATATTTTGTAGCATTTATTCACCTTTAGTGAATCTTCCCTTATTAACAAAATATATTTAATAAGGCTCTCGAAAAACAAGCAACAATAATAATTAAGATATTAATAAGCGGGCAATGAGAACTTTAACACAGCGCTGTACTTGGAGCGCAATACATGCATATAATATATATTCACAATACTTTCTACATTATGTTTATATAAAATTCTTAGTCATTTCGGTTTACTTTAAACCATTATCAGCAATGCCATATAATTTTCCATACAATATTCAAGTCCGCAAATGTTGGAAATAGTTTCTGCGTTCGACAGAGGATGAGCATACCTTTAGCCTAATTCTACAATATGCTCTTTGTTTCCTGTTTCTTGCTGTTTGTCTTTGTTTGTCTTTTGCCTTTTTATCAAGAAGGCAAAAGACAAGCAGCAAGAAACAGGAAACAAAGAGCACATTGTAGAATTAGCTTTACTTCTTATTGTTAGTTGAGAAATGTCGTGAAATATCTTCGTTATTTAACGCAAGTGATTAACCTTCGCCTTCGCAGATCACAATTCAAAGCACGTCATATTACAATAAATAGAAATTAAAATATAAAAATATTAATAAAGATACTATCCATGTGGAAGTCAGATGTGTAATCAAATTCCCTTATTACATGCATTTGAATTGCCTAAGATGGCTGAATTCAGTCACGCTCTCTCATTGGCCAGCAAAAATGTCTGCGCAATAGCACACCTTGGGTGCGTTCCGATATTCATTGCCAGTGCTGAAACTATACAGTATACGTTATGTGCGCTATAGATTTTCAGCACTGGCAGTGAAATCGGAACGCACCCCTTGTTACTTCCACCATTAGGTGTGCAAGGATACACCTGTCATTTTACATTGACCTCTTTTACACCATTGGCTACGTTTACACCGTGCGTTTAGTCCGCGACCTATACAATAGGTGTCTTTGTTTAATATACAGGATAAACAAGGACATCTATAGGCCACGGCCTAAATTCACGGTGTAAACGTAGTCAGTAAATCGGTTAGTACGCGTATCAAATTGATGTGGATTAAATATTTGATACATCCTTGGCTGTGTTCCATTTCACGCATGATGCGCATGATGCGCATTTTTTTATCTTTGTTGTTCATCAAATGTTAAACAAGGATAAATGATGCATTATGCACATCCTTTGACTATATAATATGGACTGCTAGCAGCAACTTCAGACTGGTAGCTAACCCATGCATTAGAAAGAGAGGATCATGAATCAATCATCTCCGATGTTAAGCCCCGCCCCATCGACCAAAAGCGCGGCAAATTCAAATGTACTTTAAGTTGTATCTGTTATAAGATACTTATATTTTTAGTTTAACGGGTAGAATTAGTTTAGTTTTTACTAAATTTGTAATATGTACTGTGTATTATGCGTTATTATTGTAAATATTCATGAATATTAAAATATAATGATAAATATTGAAACATTTAAAGACAAAAATAAAAAAAATAGTATAAAAACAAGATTATTTAATCTCATTTTAAATAAATAAGAGATCAAATGTGATATGCATAGATTAATATAATAAAAATAGATTATATTATATAAATTAAAAATAATTTTTTTAATGAAATAGAATTTGCATATTACACAATGCAATCTAATAACATTATATAGTTTGCAAATTTTGAGCAATTTTTAGTGCAAAGAGGAAACAACTTTTTTACGTATTTTGAAGTGCTGAATTCGGATCTGTTGTAAAAAGAATCGAATCGAACTTTTAAAGTAATATGTTAGTGTAACACTGTTAAAATAGAATTTATGAAAAAATTATCATGAAATAGTATTGTCATATTGCACATCTGTCGCTAAATGTTTAATTTTTTCATTCATCTAATTCTTTTCAAATGATTTGAGTATAACAAATGATGAGCAAGGCGAATACTAGGATTTGATGATAATTGAGAAACATTATCAAAGGGACGCAAACATGTTAGGTGGCTACTGCTGGACTTCAATACGTACAGTGAGTACAATAAGTATTCGACAGAGAAAATATTTAAAAAAAAATTATTTTTTTTTAATTAAATATTATCCAGCGAGATGAGTCATCGAATTGATGTCGAATCGATATTGATACGATGATTTCAACATCAATTCGACGTCGATTCGACGTTTAATTGATGATAATTTCTTGCTAGGTAATTAACAATTTATTCATAAAGTATAAAATAGATGATATATTTTCTATAATTAATAAAAAGATGTGTATTAATTATAGAAAATATATCATCTGAAAAATAAGCGAAAATTAAAAGTTCCATTGTTTGGATGCTTAAAAAGTTTTCGTACAATCGAGAAATTTAGCTTATAATATCAGAAATACATACGAAGCTCATTTATATATGTTAGAACAGACTGTATTCATTGTATAAAATTGCTAATTAATGTTTATTTTCTACAAATAAGATTTTTTTTTATAAAAAATTTTCTTGTACGAATACTTTTTGCTCTCACTGTAAATCAGCTCCAACGTTATATAAAAAATAAAAATGTGTTTAATACATATTTAAAATATGGCATTACTTATAGATACCTTTAACATTATAATACTTTTATATACTCAGTCTTAAATTATTGTTACTTTGGCACTTTGTTGGAAATACATAAAATTATTATAATTTATATTCTTATTGGCCTTGAAAAGTTATACTTTTTGTGAAATGATGCCTAATAAATGTATTATGCGCTTTTAGAGTCATTACTTTTCCATAATAATGTAATTTTATCTTAAAAAATACACTTATAATTGATTTAATTATCACGAACTTATGATCCTCTATTACACTAAATGTTTGTGCAACTTCACGACTATGCGAATCAAAATTCTTAAATAATGCAATTATACGTATATTTCTTAATGTATTCGAAATCATTATATTAAATGTGTTTGAACTATATAATTTATTATTTATGCAAGTGTAGAAGGTTTAATTTCATTATGATGCAAAAGGCGT